GTTTTGTTATTTGCTTAGGTTTTCAGGGAGTGTTTCATTCCTGTAGATGATAGTTGGGCCTTAGGGGAACAGTTTCGGTCGTAAATTGAATCTAAGATCTAGCGATGCGTGTACTTAGTAGTGTGTTTAAGTGATTGGTGTTTGTTATTGAGAGTGTTATTGTTGTTATTGATAGTGTTATTAGTGTTATTGTTGTTATTATTGTTGTTTGATGTTATTGTTATACACATACTGTTCAAACAAGCCCCCTCCCTATTCCTTCTTCCACACCCTCACCCCCACACAAACACTCCCTCTCGTCACATACAATCCTTTCCGTCCTCTTTCCCATAAGCACACTCTATCCCATACCTTTCTTTCTGACATTACACCATCTGACACCCCAACAAGAGTTGCCGATAACTGGATCCAGAAAACAGGAAAATAAATTCGCCTTTAGACTTCACAAGACAACTAGCATTTTCCCCTCGACTCTCTGACTCTAACTTAACCTAACCTAACCCAACCCAACCTAATCTAACCCAAACCAAACCAACCTAACCTAACCCAACCTGACCTAACTTGAATAAACCAATCAACGACAAGTATTAAACAAAGTACACTCACAAAATACGTTAAATATGACTTCGTTCAACGGTATATGAACAAAAGTATATCGAACAAAAGAGAGTGAAACAATGAATTATGATCAGTGAACAAAAAAAAAATCCCACGGGTCACCTAATAAATGGCTCTCGTGGTATAGTTATTAATCGATTTATTTTTACCATGAAAGAACTCGAGTAATTATTTATTTGTTCGATAAAGGCAAGTCTATATATTTTGATGGATATAATAATGTAAGACAATAACATAGGTAGAGCAATTAACCCCAGTGAGGAGGGAGGTCAGGTCAGGTCAGAGCCAGATCAGTTTAGGTTAGGTCAGGTCAGGTCAGGTCAGGTCAGGTCAGGTCAGGTCAGAGCCAGATCAGTTTAGGTTAGATCAGGTCAAGTTGGTCAGTGCAAATCAGTTTAGGTTAAGATAGGTCAGGTCAGATCAGAGCCAGATCAGTTTAGGTTAGGTCAGGTCACGTATTTATCATATAAAATGCACAATAGGGGGAAGGGGGGGGGCGGTATGAGTCTCTACCCTCTCCTTCTTTTGTGAGGGAAAATTTATCTCAATTTGCTTTTAATCGTGGGAAAAATTTGCCTCATCTCCTGGTGGAGTAAAACCGATCAACCAGGACACAGAGAGACGATGAAAGCCACTTAAGGAGTCAAGTGCTTTTAGCGGAGGCCCTCAGTGTAGTGGTGGTGGGAGAGGAGGTGTGGGGTGGGTGTGGGGGGAAGGTGGGTGGTGGTGCGGTGGGGTTACTGGTAGTAGTGGTAGTAGTGGTGTGGGGTAGTAGTAGTGGTGGTGGTGGGGAGTAGTGGTGAAAAATTGGTGGTGGTGGGGTAAAGTAGTGGTGGTGGTGGGGGAGTAGTAGTAGTGGTGGTGGTGGGGGTAGTGGTGGTGGTGGGGAGTGGTAAAGTGGTGGTGGTGGGGAGTGAAGTGGTGGAGTGGTGGTGGTGGGGTGGTAAGTGGTGGTGGTGGTGGTGGTGTGAGTGGTGGTGGTGGTGGGGGTGTGGTTGGTGGTTGGTGGGGTTAGTGGTGGTTGGTTGGTTGGGGTGGTGTGGTGGGTTGGTGGTGGGGATGGTGTGGTGGTTGGTTGGGGATGGTGGGGTGTGGGGTGGTGGGGGGTTGGGGGTTGTGGTGGTAGTTATGATAGTAGTGGTGGCAGTGATAACAGTAATATGTGGTGTCATCGACCCACTGTGAAGGTTGATCGTAAAGTCCCTGTGCACCTGAGTATAAGAACATAGATAAATAACTATAGTGTTAATGAATCATAGGTGCACAGGGACTTCTCGATCACCCTGGTAATTATATGATTATTATCTTTCATGACGCTCTACAATGGTAATGTGAATCTCTCTCTCTCTCTCTCTCTCTCTCTCTCTCTCTCTCTCTCTCTCTCTCTCACACACACACACACAAAACATACATTACCAAGGCTTAGAGTTAAAAAAAAAAAAAACACTCCAGCTAACTAATGTAGGTGAATAACCCGGAACAGACATAATGAGCTAAAAAATATACATCAATAACTCGATCCGTAAACAAGGGAGAGGTGAAAGCCGCAAGAAGAGTTAAAAAACACACATTGGTTTCATTGGAGCTAAAAATTCTGTTGTTAATCAGAGTGTGGAGTTACGCAGTGATATTTTGGGGGTGATTAAGAAGAGCTAATTGGTTTATATATGTATACGCTGATGGATTATACATTCATACATATGGGTGAGTTATGTATTATGGAAGATATAAATGCTATACATAGAGATATATGTATACAATTATATGTGGATATAGGTGGGGTTACTTCGTTGGTACTAATACATGGATATACATAATATACTGTATACATATAGAAGTAATATATACATACAAATACACACACGTACACACACTCATAGAAACATACACATGCAAACAAAAACACACATGAACACATACATAAGAAGATAAGAATGGAGGAAACTGGGCAGTCCCGTTTAAACCCAACCCCTATCACTCATATATCCATCCAATCTAAGCCGACACAACATCCACACCCCACCCAACCATTATAACCACACACACGAGTATCTATTCCAACCAAAAAACAACCACAAACATTCGTATTATCATACCAACAATAACAACTATGACACCAACCACCACATCTAACCACACAACCTCAACCACACCTACACACACACACATACAACCAAGACCTACCTTAAGAGCCTGTCTGAAGCGGTTACTCATGATGTGGTAGAGTATTGGGTTGACACAAGTTGAGATGTAGTAGGAGATGCCAGAGATGTTGTGCAGAACGTTAAACAGCTTCTGGGTGAAGGGATTGGAAGGGTCGCCGTGTACCGCCACCAGACGCTGGGCCTGGTGTGGAGCAAAACACACGAAGAACGCGATCACCACCGCCACTGAGAGAGAGGGAGGGAGGGTTATTATTGCTATTGAGAGAAAGTGAGAGAGAGTGAGTGACAACGAACATATTATTAACTTGTATAAAATTCTTCTATTATCATTATACATCACACATCAAACAGAATACATGATATATAATGTATACATATCAAGAATACATATTACAGAGGTACACAAACACACTGAGATATCTGCTTGTTACGTGTACTGTCAGTCTGTATGTAGAGTCTTGTATAACCTGTCTTAAGTTTACTCTTTGACGTCTTACTCTCGTCTTTAAACTCTTACTCTAGTCTTTAAACTCTTACTCTAGTCTTTAAGGTCTTACTCTAGTCTTTAAACTCTTACTCTAGTCTTTAAACTCTTACTCTATTCTTTAAACTCTTACTCTAGTCTTTAAACTCTTACTCTAGTCTTTAAGCTCTTACTCTATTCTTTAAACTCTTACTCTATTCTTTAAACTCTTACTCTAGTCTTTAAGGTCTTACTCTAGTCTTTAAGCTCTTACTCTAGTCTTTAAGGTCTTAATCCTATTATTCAAGGTCTTAAAGCTCCAAAAATCTTACGTTTATCTTGGCACAAACGTCTTAAAATATAACCATACCAAAAAATAAATTCAATATTGACCAAATAAAAAAATCGGAAATTATCCCCCCAAATATAATAATGATTTACAACAATAACAAATAATAATACCAATAATAATAATAATAATAAGGTACATTTTTCCCCGTATATAAACTCACCTCTCAGACAAAGTGTTCGAAGCGTGGTGTTCGGGACGCGTGAAACAAACCCACAAAACTTCGACACTTTTTGCACATCTGGGTGAAGCCATAGTCAAAAGATTCACAGCAGTTTATAAATAGAGTTCCGTAAGCACTAGTGGTTCAGGGTTCACAAGCACTAACGGTTCATGGCTTAAAAACACCTTCAGATCACGGAACACACACAATGACTCCCAGGTTCACCACCACCACCACCACCGAAACACCTCTCCCTCCCACCGCTGCCTGGACACTAAACAAATACCCTCTCTCTTTGATCGTTTTGTTGACCTAGTTCGTATCTGGTAACTCTATTTCTTTGTTTATCGATCATTTTATTCTGTTTTATACATTGGAGACGTGAATTGTTCAATCTATTCATATTTAATATTTATCGTAAGTGTTGAGTTAATTATTTCTGAAACGATAATTTAGCAGAAAATAAAAAATCGATCTTTGCTTATGTTATTGTCGGTTTGCCTCAGATTGCATTATATTTTATCTTATTTGTTTTTTGTTTTGCTTTTTTATGATACGTCTGTCAGCTCTATGAATACCAATACTGATTGAATGATTGACTGATTTAAACAAAAATAAAGATAAATCAGTTATTTAATCACCGAAGAAAAAAATACTGAACACATCACGTTACTGCTAAGTGTACGATAATACCAACGATTTTTTTCTCCAATACAGAACACTTCCATCGTCAATAGGTTGGCGGAACTACCCAGAGGCTTGATGCCCTTTAGGACGGTGTAGGAGGCATCAACCACTCTAGGTGGGCTGAGCTCTACAGTGCACGGTGCCTGGTGGTGAAACACACTCTAGAGTAATTTGCACCTAGGCACCATTCACTCTACTGTCATTAGCTATGTCATTACCCTCTGTCATTACCTACTGTCATTAATTACTGTCATTACCCACTGCCATTAGCTTCTGTCGCTAAAATTTTCCAAAGGGTTTAAAGAAAACAATCATGATTTGCTATCATCCAAAATCTATGTACCAAAAACATGGAAAATTTCCTTTACAAATATCTCATATAAAAAAATAATACTCCTAAATTTGATAAAAAAAAAAGGATCCATTATTGCTCTTTCCATATACTATATATTTTTTTTTACTGTAACATATAATAGTGGGTATTTTACACAGATATTTATTGTGCTGTAAACCTGTTAATAAAAATAGCAACCGTGACACCTCTCTCTCTCTCTCTCTCTCTCTCTCTCTCTCTCTCTCTCTCTCTCTCTCTCTCTCTCTCTCTCTCTCTCTTTCTCTCGTCTTGGCCACTTCTGAGAGTGAGTGACGCCAGACTGTGCGGGAAAACTGGTGCCAGACTGTGCGGGGATAGTAGAGTCACCTTGATCTTGTGTTTTGTCATCAGGGGCATCTTCTGAAGTGTGACTCGCTTCACTGCTCTCAGAACCTTGACTCGTGTTGAAGATAATATCGTTTTCAGTAGAGTCGTCGCCGGCATCACCAGTGACCCACAATATATACCCAAGCCGGTACTGAACAAATCAAATACAACACAGAAAGAACGATGGAGGTTAAGGTCAGAGAGAGAGATGTCTGCCATGACCTCCTTGACGGGTCTGTAGGATTGAACGTCGTTTTCGGGGCTGTGGGATTGAACGTCGTTTTCGGGGCTGTGGGATTAGACGTTAATCACGGGACTGTGGGAGTAGACGTAATTTACTTGCCTGTGGGATTTTATATTATAGGTGGGTGTTGGTTCTTCCCGCTTGACGTTATAATAAATTTAGATTTGTGTATCAGATGATCTACAAACAAACAGTCTCCAGAGTTAACTACACCTTTTGTCTGTGCCTAGTTGGTGATTATTGACCCTTGTCTTTGTGGGGCCATTTCTTTAATATTAATTAACATTTGTATCCTTTCATCAGACCGATATTTATCATTTTCCTCTTCCTTACACGATTGTTTATTAACCGGCGATTATTCCATCTCTTCTTTACTCGACTCATCATCCTTACGTCTGATGTATCGTATGTATAATCCCCGACGTGAGCTTCTAGAGGACTTACTGACTATAACAATGCTTATCTTCGCACGGGTATCCATTCTGTACTTAAGTTTAATTCCAATATAGGGTGTGACTTGAGGCGGGAGGGCAACGGAGAAATGACATCGGGATCCAAATTATATTCCGTTTCGTGTTTTGACAATATTATCCATTAACTTTCTTCAGGGGCTGAGATTAATTAGGGATGTGGTATCGGACTTATTCCCGTGGTCTCTTCTTCTCCGTGTGAAAGGTTATCGACCCCTTAAAGTGGTGAAGGTTAAGGTGATTATTAGGGATGGTTTAATTTCCGCTGAGAGAGAGAGAGAGAGAAAGAGAGAGAGAGAAAGAGAGAGAGAGAGAGGTGGGGCCGTTTCTTTTTTATACTTAAGTTACGAGACACTTAAACTCTCCCGTAAGCTTTGGTAGAGGAAGTAGGAAGCATGGAAAGAGGAGGAGTAGGAGGAGTACAGGTAGAGAGGAAAAGGAGGGATAGAAGGAGCTTAGGAAGAGTAGACGAAGGCTAGCAGGTAGAATGGGGAAAGAAGATGAAAAAGAAAAAGGAAGAAGAGTAGGTGGAAGAGAAGGAAGAATAGGAGGAAGAGGAGAAGGAAGAGTAGGAGGAAGAATATAACAAAGGGAGGTGGAAGGGGAAGAGTGTGTGTGTGTGTATGTGTGTAGGTTACAGCGTCAGAACCAAGGTACTGCAGGTGAGGTAGGAGAGGTACTCACCTAGCATCTTGATCACCGCCTTGTTCCTGGAGCCGTCGTTGGTGGAGGAGTAGTTGTGGGAGCCGATGGAGGGCACAGAGCGGGCCATACGGGTCGACTTCTTGAGCTGCACGGCGATACACACGTACAGCACCATGATCAACAACATGGGCGCCACGAAGAACAACACCGATGATATTTCGAAGACGAGGGCAATCCGTTTCTTCATGAGGCAGGAGGCGGTGCTGGGGTCCTGTTTGCCGTCTGGCGTCTCCTCGTACACGATGCCGTACTGGATAGCGATGGGAACGGCGCAGGCTGTGGCCACCACCCAGATGACGGCGATGAAGCGGATGACCCGACCGAGTTGTGACATGGTGTGGGAGCGTAGTGGGTGACAGATACCAATGTAGCGCTCCACAGTGAACGCCGCGATGGTCAGGATGGTCGCGTTGGTGGAGATCTCGGCCGTGAAGCCTCTGATGAAGCAGAACTCCTCCCCGAATATGTACGGTTGGCCCCACCACAGCAGGTAGATATCGTCCGGCATACCGAAGGACAGCAGGAGGAGGTCGCTGATGGCCATACTGAAGAGGTAGTAGTTGGTGGCCGTGTGCATGATGCGGTTCCTGACGATGACGACACAGGTGGCCACGTTACCCACTACCCCCGTGATGGTGATGAGGATGTAGATCACCGTCATCACCACTATCATCGTCATGCTGTGGGGCTTCAGGTGGCCCCCGTCGTCACCACCTCCAGTAATGTTGGTGAGGTTAGACTCTGGTGTCAGGGCGTCTGTGGTGATGGTAGGGGTGAGGGTGCTGAGGAAGGTGGTGAAGAAGGCGACGTGTGTGGTGGTGAGGGAGGCGGCGGTGGTGGAGGGACTGGGGGTGGAGAGGGCGCTGATAGACTCCGCCGTTGTGGTCATCGTCATGTTCTGAGGCCCCACCACTGATGACGTCATGTTCACCTCCTCCATAGTTCTACCTGACGAAGGAAAAAACAAAACATCAGTATCACTAGTGTGCCAGGAGCCTCTTTTGGACACTTGTGTTGACAACATGGTGTTTACGACAGCTCGGTGGGGAAAACTTTTCAGATAATAAGTTTATACTTTACATTATTACTTTAGACTCCAACACCCCCCCACCCCCCACCACCTCTCTCCACCCCCACACCTACTCCCACCACCATCACCCCCACCCCCACCCACCACTCTACTCCCCATCCAACCCCACACCCCCACCCTCTAACACCCCTTACCCCTCCAACATCCCCACCCCTCCAACACCCCACCCTCCAACACCCCCACCCTCCACACCCCCACCCTCCAACACCTCCACCCCTCCAACACCCCCACAACACCTCCACCTCCAACACCCCACCCCTCCAACACCCCCTTACCTCCAACACCCCCCACCCCTCCACCCCCCCCCCCACCCCTCTGAACCAGTGAGTTAACAGGGACGGAAAATGAACACTTTTGATCCAACGTAATTGACTAGAATAATGACACGTTGAATCGAGAGACTGAACACCCCGACCAGGCATCACCCTCCTTCAGGTTATACTACGGCTCAGCTACACACACACACACACACACACACACACACACACACACACACACACACACACACACACACAGAGAGAGAGAGAGAGAGAGAGTCCCTGATTTTGAGATGCGATTAATTCTGACTGAGTTCGCCCATTCTCGAGCCTTTGATGCTGGACTCATTTGGGCGGAGGATAGTAATGGATCGATGAGGGGCGAGGGGAGGTGAGAGAGAGAGAGAGAGAAGAGAGAGAGAGAGAGAGAGAGAGAGAGAGAGAGAGAGAGAGAGAGAGAGAGAGAGAGAGAGATCTAGGGTCTGTTGTCTCCCCAGGCACCTCGTTGGCAGGAGTGAGGAGTTGAATCATCGGTTACCTTCGAACTCTAAGTGTGTGTGTGTGTGTGTGTGTGTGTGAAGAATCTCCACCACCACCCTCCATCTCCAACACCCCGTAAACATAAAGAGTTCTTAAGGGATACAGCACTTGATGGGTCATTCATAACGTCGAGCCCAGGTAAGGGATGCCATGGAGAATAACCCTTAATGCCATGAACCCTACTTTAAGGTTTTTAATTTCTTGTTCCTTTCAACAGGTTTCTCTAGCCAATGGAGAGGAGGAGGAGGAAACGGTAAGGAAGGGATAGATGGATGGGTTTAAGAAGGGAGGAAAGGAGGAGGGAATGAGGCATGGAGTGGGAAAGGGATAAAGGATGGGTGGAAGGAGAGAGAGAGAGAGAGAGAGAGAGAGAGGAAGCATTTAGTGATAAATTAAAGAGAATCAAGAAGTAAGGAGAAATGGTCTACTTTGTCTGGCCCTGAGTGATGTTATACCCTGGGAAGGAAACCCCCTCTTCTCTTCTCTTCTCTCTCTCTCTCTCTCTCTCTCTCCTCTCCTCCATACCCCCAACACAGACTGAAAGAGAAAGACACAAACATAAACAGAGAGAGAGAGAGAGAGAGAGAGAGAGAGAGAGAGAGAGAGAGAGAGAGAGAGAGAGAGAGAGAGAGAGAGAGACTTATACACACACACACACACTAGAGATAAGATGCTCTCCCTGACCTACCAAAGTCTCATATAAAGAAAACAAGAGAGATCGAGAACAGCCTCTTAGATCCTCTTATGGTATTCAACTCCCCGACAAACCAAAGACCTAAGGAGTTATAGACGCGAGGAACAATATTTCTTCCTTTAGGGTTCGTAAATTTGGAGAATATTTGACAGTTTATTTATGCAGGGAGTTTTCTTACCCGTTTTATTTTATTGAGATGTTACTTTAGTCATATATTTCCTGTAAGCTGTGCCCCTGAGAGGATTGTTTCAGTAAGCTTGTTCTATTAGAATATAAATGTGCCTTCGTTATTAAGTATGGAGCAATGATGATAATAATAATAATAATAATAATAATAATAATAATAATAACAATAATAATAACAATAATAATAATAATAATAATAATAATAATAATAATAATAATAATAACAATAATAATAATAATAAACCTCAGGACACAATAACACAAGCTACATAATAATAAACCTCAGGACACAATAACACAAGCTACATAACCTACACTGATCTCTCTTCTCTTTTAACTCTATATTTAACATAAGACAAAAACACAGAGCTATTGAACCGTACATAAAAACCTCGTCACACCCAAATACCTAAAACAAAACAAAAGTAACATTGATAAAATATATACATATGTTGTTAACTATAGACACAAACACAAAATACTTACAGCAGAAAAAGAATCAATAATATAAAAATAATATCAAACACTCACAACAACAGAGACTATTTAGAATAACCCCTTAAAACACACACACACACAGACACACACACACACACACACACACACACACACAGACACACACACACAGACACACACACACACACACACACACACACAGACACACACACACACACAGACACACACACACACACACACACACACACACACACACACACACACACACACACACACACACACACACACACACACACACACACATCAAGAGCTCTGACATCAAGCAAGAAAGAAATTTACGTCCCAGACTTCCAAAAAGTAAAGCTTGTTGACAGTAAAACTACAAAATTTGAAATTACAGCAACATTTAGCCTGAACCAATTTTCGATTTTTAGAGCGAGCAGAAAAACATTACCTCCCCCCCTCCCTCACCCCATACCCTACCTCCCTGCCCTACCTCCCACACTACCCCCACCCTACCCCTCACTCAACCCCCTACCTCATTCACCCAACCCAACACCCCTCCACCCTACCCCCACCCCTACCTCATCCGCCCTCCCTGCCACAATCACACTAATACCTGAGGTGAAATATAGCAGCGAAAATTAATAGAGAAAGATATATATAAATCTGAAATATATCTGAAAATATCTAGAGAGACTTTGAGTATTTATGAGGTAAAATATGTGAGGGGTTAATGTGTCTCGTTGTGAAGAGAAATACTACTTGAGATTACTGAGGTAAGATGGTAGTGGTGGTGGTAGTGGTAGTGGTTGGTGGTGATGATAGTGGTGGTTGTTAGTGGTGGTAGTGGTTGGTGGTGATGATAGTTGTTGGTTGTTGGTGGTGGTAGTATTGGTAGTGTTAATTCATCTTTCCCACACACACACACACACACACACACACACACACACACACACACACGCGCGCGCGCGCGCGCACACACACACACACACCTAATACCTTTACGATCCAATTATACCAATAGTGAATTAATTACCACAGGTAAAAAATCCAACAAGGGTACATCAGGTATTTTTTAGTAGGGGTTATCAATTATATCGAAGGTAAGTAGATTATAATATGCTAATGATTATCTAATTATCTCTGGGATTAACGAGGTGTTAGGGGAGAGAGAGAGAGTATAATATTGTCTGGTAATGGGTGAATTGGGATGGTGATGGATGTATGTATGTACTGTATGTATGTATGTATGTATGTATGTATGCATGTATGTATACACAAAAAACACAATACTAACCTTATTTGACCTTTTTTCTAGAGGTCCGGTCAAAGCATGTGGTTGACTGACCCCTCTGGTGACCTCAGCTCCCACGACACTGGAATTAAAGGAAAATTACATCGTTAGTGTGGAAGACATATTGGTATTTGTGTTTGCAAATTTATTTGTGATATATTTATTTTTTATAGTAAGGTTTGTATGATATTTAAAAGTTTGTATGTACGCGGACGCACATACCCATTTACACATACACAAGCACATACATACATACATACATACATACACACACACACAAAACCACAAACAAACATACACACACACACACACACACACACACACACACACACACACACAGGTAACGTTTTAGAATGTTGGTCTTTAGAATTATAATTTTAGAAGTCCACAGTCACATAAATATCACGACTTTGACCCCAAATACTGAGACTGACAGTTTGTGAGCGTGGCGTCTCGTCTCGTGTGGGCGGACAGTTTAATTTCCGCTTTCCTCTTCACAAATAACAATAATACTTGTTCTTACCTGCATAAAAAATAAATAAATAAATATTCTCGCATCTGTGAGTGGCAGCCTTGGTCAACATATCACCAAGGATAAAATAGAATTTCAGTCATCGTGTACGGATTTCTATAAGAGGAATTTTGGGAGGATCACATTTTGGAGACACACACACACACACACACACACACACACACACACACACACACACACACACACACACACACACACACACACGTCAACAGATAGCCAAAGACAGAAAAAAGTGTTAACTGAGTCAGGAAATTGATTAAACGCCTCGATAACTCTCACAGGTATTTTGTTATAGACATACCTTTAACAACTTACAAACGACAATTTTTTTTAATAGTTTATATGGGTTAACTTTTTCTTTTAATTATTGACAGACAATTTACCTCGATTTACTTTTCCTTTTAAATATTTACAATCAATTTACGTCAATTTACTGCCAATTTTACTCATTTACAAACAACTTACTTCGGTTAACTTTCCCTTTTACATCTTTTCAAGCAATTTACGTCAACTAACTGACTGTTGTACACATTTACAAGCAATTTATAAAGGATACTGTTATATTTTACAATTTTTATCCCTATTTCCTGCCAGGTGTAACTTAGAGTAAATTCAACCTCACATCTTACACAGTACGGGTTACGTTACGTTGGGATAGAGTGTTGAATCATAAGGTGAAATAAGCTTGGAACTATGCGAATTCCATTGTCGATAACTGTTCCTTTTCCTCTCTGCTAATATCCTTTTCTCGGTAAAAAATATACAAATGGAAGATTAAACCGAGCACCCGCGTGTTAGTGGACAGTTCTGCTTACTTAAAATTATGATCATTTTGGGGGGGGATATAAATTCCTCTTAAGTAGTTCAGAAATAGTCTTGAAACA